GACATACATAGCTAGATCGACTCAGCTCGGCGAGCTAGGAAGATCCATATATACTTTCCTATGTGGGAAACCAATATTTCGAGGTGTTACATAATTTTTGGCCCAATCAAACTTATAATACCCCCAACACATAGTGTTGTAGGGTATAAAAATTGTTCCCAAATGTTATTTGCTCGAAATAACCATTAAATAGACTACTCTCCGACCAAATAACATTTATGGCAATGACCCAAATTGAATGGACGTGATTTACATTCGAAATAAAATATTCATTTTTATTTATTTGTTTTACATTTAATTTTATTACTTTTCACAATTTTCCTTTTAATTTGGTCCTTTCACTCCTACGTTTGGTCTGTCCATTGTTTTTCGTCTATCGAAGCATTTTCGATTTCATTCGCCATAATGTTCACAATTTACCAAAAATAAAAAAGTCAATTGTTTTTTTTTTTGTTTTCATTTCAACAAAACATAACAAATAAATTATTCATTCATAGATATTAAGAGGCGTTGTGTATGCGCCGACGATGATGGTACGAGTGTGTGTGTGAGTGTAATGTCAATATGTATGCGAAATACATTTATAAATAAACAATGATCTCCGATGGGTATGTAAAAATGTACATATAAAAACATATACGTATTTTCATTTCATTCACAATAAACACCCTTTTCCCCATACATTGATAATGTGTGTTTCTGAGAGAGAGAGTTTGAAAAACAATTGTCGGCATGGAAGGAGATGGCTGGAAATAATCGGGTGAGGGATTGGGAAAGAATTTATGAAGACAATTTTTTATTTTAGATATAAACACTAGATTATCCATATTCTATCATTTCCAGGCTCAAAAAAAAAAAACAAGTAAGCACAGGCTACAGTCGAGCGGGGCCGACCGTTGAATACCCTACAACACTATAATAAACGATACAGTTCATATAGGCGAGATACTCGAAAGAATTGCACAAGATATTGTAACAAATAATAAAAGAAAACCATCAGGTTTCGTTCTCTAATTTTCGAATAGTTGCTATTATTAGAAAATTAGAGAACTAATTTGCTCATTTCCAATTTATTGGTAGATGTTGCACGTAAACGGTCTTCCTAGATCTGGAACCAATATTAACCAAAGATCTATAATCTCTCAGAAGTGGCAAAAGATTAACATTTTTTATTGGTTTTTGACTGAAACGCATCTATATGAGATACAGACATTTGACTATATTCCTTAACGAAATCAGCGTTAACGAAAGAAGTGCGTCTTTCCTTTATTTGTGAATTCTCCAAAAAGTCACTGGAATGGACATTTTTGTATTTTGTCTACAAAAGTTGGCAAACTATTTCCCACATTGAATAATTTTGGATGGTCATCCAAAACTGTTTGGCTTTTGCAATGTCCGGTAACCCCCATTCAAATGTGCGTGAGGATCGGTTGATAATTACGATCTGCTGACAATTTTGCAGTTTTTTGGTCCATTTCAACCCCTAAATATTATGCGATCATCTTCAAAAGAAATAGGGTTCTATTCTGACCCTAGCCCCACCTACATTCTAAATTTCGTGAAGATCGGGCCATAATTGCGACCTGTAGCGTGATTACAAATTAACATGGACAGACGGACAGACGGACGGACGGACATACATAGCTAGATCGACTCAGCTCGGCGAGCTAGGAAGATCCATATATACTTTCCTATGTGTGAAACCAATATTTCGAGGTGTTACATAAATTCTGGCCCAATCAAACTTATAATACCCCCAACACATAGTGTTGTAGGGTATAAAAATGATAAGGCAGAAAGACATCATCGAAGTCATGGTGGTATCGCTTTCTGTGGAGGGGCTCCAAATCTATATAAACTGAGATTTTAAAGCAAAATTCCCTAAAATCGTAAAAAATAATTACGATTTGGAGGGAGCCGGCCCCATTAGGTTTCCTGGCTACGTCGGAAGCTTTTACAAGATAACTCCTGATTATAGTTATTTCGAGGGGCTTGGCATTATTTTCCAATAGACTTGGCTGAATATTTTTATTTGGGTTTCTCCGACAGAAAATATTTAATAGAAATATGCTATGAAGCTCCCTATTATAAACTCATATATGTAAACAAGTTAGCAAATGCTATAGTCGTGCGGAGCCGACCACCCTACAACACTATAATATGTTAAAAGTGCCCTTAGGTCTAAATCCATTTTGTCAGTTTTTTTTTTTTTTTTTTGGAAATAATGCCATTCATCCAATGGTTATCCAATATGCTGACCTTCTGCCCTCTCTTTAACTCTCTCCTCATGCCAAATTCCATGTTGATTGGTTTCAAATTGTGACCTATAGAGCGAAAGCCCAATCGGCCGACAGCTTTTAAAATTATTCCAGTGACAGCTCGTTATATTGCTTGCAAGCGTACAAAAGCATTTTGATGATAAATTTCCAGAAAAAAAGTTATTCGTAATAGAATTCAAGAATGTTAGTGCGATTTCTTTATATTACGCTGGAAAACCACAAGTGGCTATCGTTAGAGCACTCCAGCATTCAAATGTGAATAAATCTTTTGTACCATCACTCGTTACCGTGATACTGGTAGCGTAGCCCGACGTCAAGGAAGTGGGCGGAAGAAAACAGCAACATCAGCAGAAATGGTTCGAAAAGTCAAAAAACGACTTGATCGAAACCCGCGTCGCAGTGACCGAAAAAATTGCCCGTGATCTGAACATATCGTAATATTACATTCGGCAAATATTGAAAAATGAGCTGGGGGTAAAGCCATGAAATTTCATAAAGTGCAAGAACTTACACCGCAAAAAAAAGAAAACTAACTAAAAGAGCTAAAGAGGTACTTCGCTTGCTGAACTGCCAAATTTGGTTTTCTCCGATGACAAAATATTCGTTGTCCAGCAGAGCAGTTTGCAAACAAACAAAATGTTTGTTGTGTGTTTACTTGCCCGAGAGGACAGCTGAAAATGTGCACCTTCGGTTGGCCAGCAGAACTCAAGCGCCGGCCATGGTGCTGGTGTGAGCCGCCATAACAGTCGATGGTCGCTCTCCGCTCGTATTCATTAATTGACCGTGGCATCAGAATAAATGCCGAATATTATCGAGAAAATACTCTAGAGGGTGTATGAAAGCCTTGGACACGTAAACATTTTGGCCGCAATCCTTAAACATTCCAACAGAACTCAGCACCATCGCACTCAGCACGCACCACCCAAGAATGGTTACAAAATGAGGTTCCTCGCTTCATTTCCAGCGCACAATGAGACCAAAATCTCCAGATGGACTTTTGTGTCTGGAGTATTTTGAAAAGCAAGGTTGGCACTAAAAAATACCAAAGTGTCGATCACCTCAAGCAAGCGCTTCGCCGGGAATGAGCCAAAATACCGCAGAGCAACATTCGAGTAGCGTGTGATGGTTTCATTGGCCGTTTGAAGGTCATTATTCGTGCCAAAGGTGACCAATTCGAACAAATCTAAACTTATGCTAAAATTTGATGCTATTTCGGACATTCTTTGCTTTCATCAATAACGGCCGAACTTTTAATGCCCTCCACCATTTGAAAGGAACTTAAAAATTTCAAAAAAAAAAAAAAATCCAAAATCTTTCACTTAATTGAAAACCGCTACCTGGAGACTATACGAAGACGTGGACCTGCACAGACAATTTTTTTCATAGGCTGTAGCACCCATTACGAACTTCAAATGCGAAATTTGAAATAATTCCGGTAAATAATGTCGCTAAAATCATGAAAATACCGGATGACGGGAGGTATCGTTATATGGGGTACCTGCATACAAAGATTTTTGCCAAAGGCCGTAGTACCCATTGGTATTTTCCAGTACGAAATTTGAAACGATGCCGGTGAATAATGTCGCTAAAGTCATCAGAATACCGAATATCGGGAGGTACCCTTATATGGGGGCTATATGAAGACGTGGACCTGCACACAATTTTTTTCATAGGCTGTAGTACCAATAACGAACTTTAAATTCGAAATGTAAAATAATTCCGATAAATAATTTTGCGAAATCATGAAAAAATACCGAATATTGGGAGGTACCGTTATATGGGGGCTATACGAAGACGTGGACCTGCACAGACAATTTTCTGTTTCAGGCTGTAATATCCATTACGAAGCTCAAATGCCAAATTTAAAATAATTCCGGTGAATAATGTCGCTTAAATTATCAAAATACCGCATATCGAGAGGTACCATTATATGGGGACTATATGAAAACGTGGACCTACATGACCCATTTTCAATACCAAAATTCCTGCCGACATAATACACATTTGAGTAAATTTTTATTAACTTACTTCATTTTTTCGGAAGCTAGAGTTATCTCCATAGACGGACAGACGGACATACATTCACAATCAGCATAAAATTCTATGTCGATTTAACAATGTCCAATCGACATAGAATTTTATGCTGATTATGAATGTATGTACTCTGTGGGGTCTAAAATGTATATTTCGAGGTGTTACAGACGGATTGGCAAACTTAATATACCCTCCATACTATGGTGGAGGGTATACAAAGGAGTACACAGATTGGTAAAATTGGATTTTATAATTCAATGTTTATAAATCTATTTTAAATTTTGAATACTCTAAAGGTATGAAAGTCACGGTAAACAAATGTCAAACACATTTCTATGTCGTCTATTTTTGGGGTAAAAACATGAAGATTATGAAATCTCTCATACTGCGTCGGTGATTCTTTTGATATAGAACTGGCCTTCTCTCTTGGATTTCTTTTTGCCATCAGAGCTTCATTCGATTTTTGTCTGAAATTTATTTTTGTCTGAATTTGAAATAATAAAATTATTTTATTATGTTTCAGTAAAATGTTTTTCCCCCCTCCAATCTGAACTTAATTTCTTCACAAATTCTCAACACCTTCATTTTAAAGCTAGAATAAAATTTAACCTACAACACATACAAAAAATACAACATGACATCGATAAAAAATGTTTTTTTTTGTTCTATAAAAATTTTACCTATTAACAGGATCTCTTTGGGTGTGTGGATGTATTTTTTTCTTCCTCTTTTTTTGTCAGGGATTCATTTATCATTTTTTGGTTTTACATTTCATTTCATACAATTTCCATTTACTTTTTTTTTATATTTTTCCTATACTTGTTTTTTGTTGTTTGTTAGTTTGGTTTAAAAAAAGCTAAGCTTCTTCGGTTATTACATCGAATTAACGACAGAAGACAGAAATAAAAGGCAGCAGCGCGTAATCAACCTAAGCGTAAAATGATAAATTGACAAGTTAACGGAAACGGAAATTAAAAATGTCTCAGCAGCGAGTTCGCCCAGTAACCAAGGGCGAAAATGATGATGACATGGTGGGTGACAAATGTGACGGTGTGACTGGCAAGATTTTCCAATGTGGCGAAAATTTTCACCGCACTCCAATCGCTGAGACCGGCCAGATTGCGTGAGGCGGCGCGCATCAGATATGTGGTGTTGGACTTTAAGCCGGAAATGACAAAGCGACGGCCATCTAGAGGGGGGAGAAAGAGAAATAAAAAGGAAAAAAGAGAGAGGGAGAGAGAGAGAGAGAGATAAACACAAATTACATGCTGAGTAATGCCAAAAACAGGAAGAGGAACCCCTTCAGTTTGGGCGCCACCCTTGTTTACCTACCTCGATGAAAGAGAAAATCTTTTCGCTTGGCATAACTCCAGTTGCCCGCACTAAACTTCAGCTCACTTTCACTCATATACTCCACCCGATAGCCCAGCGTGTTCATATTATCCTCGACATTGCTGTACTTCACCGAACGTATGTCCAGCTCAAAGCCATCCGTAAATATTCGTTTCAATTGAAAACGTGACGGCCCAGCCGGCTTTTGGCCCTTGCTCAGTTTGATGACACGTTCCAGGGTGCCCAGCGGATTGGCCACCTTACACTTGTAATCGCCCAAATGTGTCTCGTTCAGCACGTGTATCTGCAGCGTTGAACTGTAGTCGCCATAGAAGATGCGATAGTTGCTGCCACGTATCGACTGGCCATTATGCAGCCAGGCAAATGATGGTGGCGGTTCGCCCATAGCTTCGCATGATATATTCTTTACGCCGCCAATGTAGGCATATTGCAGCAATGATGTACTGTTATCGAACCAATATGGCTTATCTGAAATAATTCGACAAGAAGGAGAAGAGGAATGAGAAGAGTCAGAGGAATGAAAAACAATAGGTGGTTTTGGGGAAGGGGGTAGGGGGTATATTGGTTGTAACAAATTGAGTAATAAAAGCAAAATGTGAGGGACCATTAATAACAATTGGTGTTTCTATTTTTATAGCCAATATCGATGATGTAGTGGGGGAGGGGAAGAGAGCGTATAAAAGCTAGGGTGATGTTAAATAGTTTGAGATGACTTTAATGTTTTTTTCGGGACATTTGGGAGTTTGAAAAAATATATTCTTAAGTAATCTACATTTATAGAGGTGCCCGGAAATAATCCCACGGACATAATTTCCATTGTAATTATGGGGTTAATGCCAAGTTTTGTATTCGGTCCAGAACGGAGTTCAAGGGCTACGCTCGGATTAACCTGCACAGATTAGTATTTTCACGTCAAAGTAATTTTTTTGTGGTGGAAATTACCGGTTGTTCGAGTGGAAAGTTCGGATACGAAACCCGGGTTATATTCGGTTCTACAAAATTTATATGTGATTACGGCAAAGTAATATTTTCGAAAATTCGGATACAAAATCCGGGTTATATCCGGTTCTACAAAACTGATATGTGATTAAGACAAGTAATTTTTGCCTTGGGAGAAATATCCGGTTATTCGACCCGAAAGTTCAGATACAAAATCCGGGTTTTGTCCGGTGACTTTAATGTTTTTTCGGGGTATTTGGGAGTACTGAAAAAATATATTCTTAAATAATCTCCATTGTAATTATGGGGTTAATGTCAAGTTTTTTTTTGACATAAACCGCCATAATAAAACGGGGATTATATCCGCTCCAGACATAATCCCTGCTTATTTTGAGTTCAAGGGCTACGCTCGGATTAACCAGATTTTTTTGCACAGTTTAGTATTTTCACGTCAAAGTAATTTTTTGTGGTGGATATAACCGGTTGTTCGACCGGAAAGTTCGGATACGAAACCCGGGATATATTTGGTTCTACAAAATTGATATGTGATTACGGCAAAGTAATATTTACGAAAATTCGGATACAAAATCCGGGTTATATCCGGTTCTACAAAACTGATATGTGATTAAGACAAGTAATTTTTTCCTTGGGAGAAAAATCCGGATATTCGACCCGAAAATTCGGATACAAAATCCGGGTTTTGTCCGGTTCTACAAAACTGATATTTACAAAATGGGTATCATTTGAAAGCTCATGAGGTTGTTTGAGCCGAATCCGGTGCAATACAAGAAAATGGGAATTTTTAAGCCGAAACTTTTTAAAAATGTCTAAAGGGTCGAGAATGGACCAAATATGGGGTATTAAGATCTAAATTCTACATTATAGCCTAGGCTTATAACAAGTTAAAAATATCAGTCGGTTTAGCCGACAGATGTATACTTTCAGCCAATGTTCGATTATTTAAATATATTTTGACATCTGTTATGAATTTTCAAACTCTTGACCCTCTACGGAGTGGGGTTTGAAAGAATTGGTCAATATTGTCCATTTCATATTGGAACTAAATAAATATTATTATGAATATTTAATCGAACATTTATATCCAATTTATGAGAAATCTTAAATTCCATATTCATCTCAGGATTCCGGTTGAGAGACATATATTTAGATATAGTAAGTTGTAAAGAATCGCTGAGTTGTTTCACATTTTATGATAGATAAAAGTATTGAAAATTGTGTCCCTTTGTGGGAGAGGTACCAGAAGAGGTTCGCAGATCTATAGCATCTTCACAACAGATCTTGTGTTAGCAAAAATATTTGTATGTGTGAAATTTGTCGAATGCCTATTTCGCTTTCTTTGAGCGATTTGTTTTTGAAAATCCTGAACCCTATGTGAGGCAGGTAGCAACCGAAATGGTCCGATCTGCACCATCTTTATAACAGATTTGTGTTGATGGAAATATTTTAGATGAACCATGTCTGGAATGGAATCGGCTTTTTATGAACTTCATGGATATTCAAAATTTTGAGCGTTTGTGAAGGAGGTACCAGAAGGAGCGGACTGATATTGTCAATTTTCGCACCAGACCTAGCACTGACGCAAATATTAGGATATGCAAAGTTGGAGCAAAATCAGATTATCGTTTTTTTTTTCTTTGCAAAAAATATATTTTTTTGAAAATTTCGACCATTTGTGGGGGAGGTACCAGAAGGAGTGTACCGATATATTTTATCTTAACACAAGACTTTGGGTTATTATAAATATTAGGATGTGTGAAATTTGAAGAAAATCGCAATCTTACATCACATTTTGTGAGAGTTGTAATTAATCAAAATTTTGACCCTTTGTGGGGGAGGTACCAGAAGGAGTGGACCGATATTGTCCATTATCACACCTAACTTAGCACTAACGCAAATATTAGGATTTGCAGTTGGAGCAAAATCGGATTATCGTTTCTCTATCTGTGCAAAAAATATTTTTTGAAAATTTTGACCATTTGTGGGGGAGGTACCAGAAGGAGTGGATCGATATATTCCATCTTAACACCAGACCTTGGGTTAATATAAATATTAGGATGAATGAATTTTGAAGACAATCGGACTCTTACATCACATTTTATGAGAGATGTAATTGTTTAAAATGTTGACCCTTTGTGGACGAGGTACCAGAAGGAGTGGACAAATATTGTCCATTTTCACACCTAACTTTGCACTGGCGCAAATATTAGGATTGAAGCAAAATCGGTTATCGTTTCTCTACCTGTACAAAAATATATATTTTTTGAATATTTCGACCATTTGTGGGGGAGGTATCAAAAGGAGTGCACCGATATATTCCATCTTTACACCAGACCTTGGGTTAACATAAATATTAGGTTGTGTGAATTTTGAAGATAATCAGACGTTTACAACACATTTTATAAGAGTTGTAATTATTTGAAATTTTGACCCTTTGTAGGGGGGGGGGGTGTACCAGAAGGAGTGGACCAATATTGTCCACACCTGACCTAGCACCGATGGAAATATTAGCATTTGAAAAGTTGGAGCAAAATCGGATTATCGTTTCTCTATCTGCGCAAGAAATATATTTTTTTAAAAATTCGATCTTTTGTGGGGGAGGTACCAGAAGGAGTGGACCGATATTGCCCATCTCTGAACTCGATCTAAGTTTGACAAATATATTACGTTGTACCAAGTTTGGATCAAATCGGATACTCCCTTCGAGAGTTATGGTGCGCACCAGCCAGGCTGAGGGTATAAAAAAATCCACGTTGGAAAAATATTTTTAAGAAATCAAGATCAAAGTCATTTCACAAATATTCTTAAAACTAAGCCTTTTGTGGCCCTGATGGTCTTCCATACAATTATTCATAAAAGTAGTACTGATGATTCTTTATCTTAAAATCAAAATTTCATGGCTATAATGGCTCTTTAAAAATATATTTTTAAAAATACGCTGTTCGAGTCTCTGGTGTTCTTCAAAAATTATTCTTTAAAAGTCTTGTTTTTATACCCTCAGCCATATGGCTACAGAGATATTGGCCGGTATATATCATTTGATACGGTCAAAACGTGCCCAGTCGAAATAATGGTTTTAGACCCTAGGTCTCTTTGGACCAAATCCGTTTCAGAACATTTGGAGTCGATCTACCGATGTCCGTCCGTCTGTCTGGCTGGCTGGTGCGCAGTATCCGATTTGATTCAAACTTGGTACATCGTAATATTTTTGTCAAACTTAGATCGAGTTCGGAGATGCACAGAAAGAGAAAGGATAATCCGATTTTGCTCGAACCTTGTGAATCCTCACATTTTTATCACTGCTAGGTCATGTGCGAATATGGACAATATCGGTCCACCCCATCAGGGACCTCCCCCACAAAGGGTCATAATTTTGAATAATTAAAGCTCTTATAAAATGTGATGTAAGACTCCGATAGCCTTCAAATTCCACACATCCCAATAATTTTATTAGTCCAAGGTCTGGTGCAAAAACGGAATGTATCGGTCCACTCCTTCTGGTACCTCCCCCACAAAAGGTCGAAATTAAAAAAAAATATTTTTTGCACAAAAAAAAATCCGATTTTGCTCGAACTTTGCAAATCCTCATATATTCATCAGTGTTAGGTCATGTGCGAAAATGGAAAATATCGGTCCACTCCATCAAGTACCTCCCCCACAAAGGGTCAAAGTTTGGAATAATTACAACTCTTATAAAATGTGATGTAAGAGTCCGATTGTCTTCAAATTTCACATATCCCAATATTTTTATTAACACAAGGTCTGGCGTTAAGAGGCAATACATCGGTCCACTTCTTTTAGTAACTCCCCCACAAAAGGTCAAAATTTTCAAAAAAATATATATAATATATTTTTTGCACAGAAAGAGAAACGATTAGCCGATTTTGCTCTAACTTTGCAAATCCTAATATTTGCGTCAGTGCTAGGTCGGGTGCGAAAATGGACAGTATCGGTCCACTCCATGAAGTACCTCCCCCACAAAGAGTCAACATTTTGAATAATTATAACTCTTAAATAATGTGATGCAAGGATCCGAACGTCTTCAAATTTCACACATTTCAATATTTTTAGAAACCCAAGATCTGGTATTAACATGGGATGTATCGGACCACTTCTTCTGGTACCTCCCCCACAAAGTGTCGGAATATTGAATACCCATGAAGCTCATAAAACATCAAATTAACATCCGATTCCATTTAGACTTGGCACATCTCAATATTTCTATCAACACAAGATCTGTTATAAAGGTGGTATAGATTGAACCATTTCTTCTCCCCCATACATAGGGTTCAAGATTTTGAAAAACAAAACACTGAAATAAAGGGAATATATGTGAGTCGATAATGGATTATATCGGAACGTCGGAATATTTATATCCTATTTTTGGGTCCGATACGAAATTACAATATTGGCCCATTCCTTCGGAACCTGTTCCATAGAGGGTCAAACGTTTGAAAAATTGTAACACTAGTCAAATTGTATTTAAATAATCGAACACAGGCTGAGGGCAT